GGCGCACGCAGGGGGGGGGGGTTAAGAGGTTGTAACCTCCCGAAATTTTCTCCGATGTCTATGTTAAAATTTACAAATTTTACAAGTTTGAAATATGAAGGAAGAGCTAGTATTGAATACCTAGTATCATTGATTATAGAATAGTCTATACTATTATCAATGCTATTATTTAAGTCAAAATATATTAAGGATTTGCATAATTTTGTTAATTTTAAAATGTGTTATATTTTTACCTTGACCCCCCCTCGAAAAAAATCCTGTGTGCGCAACTGTCGAAAGATAAGGTACTACCTGCCGATTTATAGCCCGTATGTGTCCATTTTACTTACAACGTTGCCATTGTGATTTATAATATAGATTATTTTTATCTTGATAAATACTTAAATTAAGTAGATTATTATATTACATTATTATAGTCATTATTAGTAGCTGTACTCGTATAATTAAATATTATTAAATTATTTAAGATTGAACTGTTATAAGTTGCCGTAGAACATACATTTTCTGGGCTCAAGTTTATGTGGTATGGTATGTATGGTATGTAGTGACCTAAGATCATCACTACCATCTGATTTTTTCAATCAGTGGCGTAATTGTGGGGGGCGAGGGGGGGAATGCCCCCACTTACCATTTTTTGTGAGATAAAAGTATATTTTTGCCCCCCCCCCCCAGATAATTCAACAGTACAAATAGCACCTTTTATTAATGAACTCTTATTGATATTATTTAACAATATTGGTACCTAGTTCATGCTACCTACAATTTATGTTTATCTAAACCATAAAATGAGTTAAAAGACTTATGTAAAATCAAACAATTAGATATAGTGTATAAAATACATACAATAAAAATATGTTTAACTGGTGAGGAGGAGGGGTGTCAGGGTTTTGGTAATAATAAATATATTATATTGCCCCCCCCCCCCAGGTTTTTTCCCAATTATGCCACTGTATTCAATGAAATCATTATTATAAGAGAAAATAAGATGGGTATGGAAATTTAATATGTTTTTTTAAGTTTAATATTTAATATTTTTATAAGTATACATTATACAGTGATACACTATGGAATATACAGATTAATTTTTTTGTTAATTATTTTAAGTTTTTCAAGTGTTAAGTTTGAACCTTGATTAGAATAGAATGTTTTGTATTTAAATTTTTTCATGTTTATCAAACTATTATCATTTATTTTATATTCTTAAGTTTTTTATGTATCTTAAAGAAAAAAAAAAGATATAAGTATACTTACTTAAGTAATTATGTAGTATTTTCTTTTGTTTTATGCCTATTCTTACTTACAGTCACACCACAATAATATGCATAAATGGTTTGTTAAGAGTAGGTACCTACTTAAGATTTAAGTTCAATAAAAGAAAATTGACTATTGAAAAAAAAAACAAAAACCCGGTTTAAAAGTGATTATTGGTAAGTTATATGATTTAAAACCGCTTCCAAATAGATGATCGATAGTCTCATTTCTTAGAGTTACTTTGGTAACCGGGAATCGATTACCGCTATTTCTAAAAACAACGAAGACCGGAAATTGGTTCCGAAAAAATTTCCGGGTTCTCTAGATCCGGTAACCAATTTATTAACCCTGATTTATTATATTAAAATCCATTTTTATACACTCGCAACTCACGTATCATACTCTAGTTGAGGATTCGTAGTTTGTGTAAAGTTACACTATACATACAAGAGAGTGTGACGTAAATATTAAAAAAAGTTAAAACTGATAAAAAATATGTACAATAGTATTAACTTTAAAAGGTATAGTTAGTATTCTAGAGTACAGTTTGGTAACGTTGTACGGGTTTAATACATTTTTATTGAAAATATTTCGGGCGCAAATGGATTATGATTTTGGGCGCAAATACGTTATAAAAAAGGTGTGATGGGCGCAAATGATTTGCACCGGCAAATGCAATAGAAAATCGAAAAAAAAGCTAAACTAAATCTTAAAAATCAAGCAGTTAAAATGAAAACATGGTCAGATAAAAAACTTCAATCAGCAGAAGTAGATGTTACAGTTCAATTTCCAGTATCCGATGTGGACAAAGGTCATGGAGATGATCAAAATAGTTTAGCTGTTGTTATACTCTATAATAACAGCTAAAATATTTCCATGTATAGAGTATTTAACATAAAATAATATATGGTTATTAATAGGGGTGAGCCGATCCTAGAACCGATACTTGGTATCGGCCGATATTGGTAGTATGGGAAATATCGGTATCGGTTTATTTTCAAAACCGATATTTGAACCGATACCGCAAAAACTACTTGTGATTATAATATTGGGTATCGGTTTAACTTTAGTATCGGTTCATTGTAAAGCCAAAAAAGTTGATTTTTTTTATGTAATATATTAAAAATCGTTTTTACTTGTGATTATAATATTGAGTATCGGTTTTATATATCGGTATATCGGGTATCGGCCCATCCCTAGTTATTAAGTCATTCATATTTTATTATATATGATAATTTTAATATTATTTCAGCTAACAGTTTATAGATATTACTGTTTAGGGATTAGGGAAAGACTTTTAAAGTTTTTAAACTCGAATTCTCAATTTACAATATGCCAAAATAATTTAATAATAATTGGCGAAGTTCCAGTGGAAAGTACATTTAAATCACTAACTCCAAAAAGTTCATTAAGTTGATAAGAAAATTAAATTTAGAGCATATATTACTGACAACAATGTAATCATAAATGTAGAGTTAATCATTAATTATTAAACATCAATAAAATACATTAATTTCTTAACCATCATGGTGCCAAATCACGTCTGACCTTAATCAATTTTGTGTTCTATTTTAAGCATTTGAGACATATCTAGTGTTAAAATATGTATCTATAAGATACTATTTAGAACAATTTCTCATTGTCTACCTGATCATTTTTGGTCACTCAATTGCTTGGACTTAAAAAACTTCATTGAATATTAAAAAGTTATATTTTTTTCTAGGTTCCACGATTCAATTTCGCATATATTTAATTGAGAATACATTATATCATTGTAAATGACAATCAAACGTTTCTTAATTTGTAATTTTTTTTTTTTTTTTTATCGAATCTGGACGAGTAATTAAGCATGGAACTGCTAAAAACGGTAAACATGAGCTTTGCAATTAATGCACAAAAATATTATATGTATTTGATAATAATAAAGATATTTTTTAGGTAATAATAGGTCAGAAATTATTTTCAAGAGGTAGATATAGAGTAATTTAATGTTTATTAAAGTTAGATTGAGGTACCTACTTTATATTTTTATAATAACAAAAATAATATTACTTTTTAATATACAATTTCAAATACAATTTAAATTACATTAGATATTGTTTCTTTGGATTAGTTATTGATTTTTGTTTTCTCGTCCAAATCAAATAGCCTCAAATTTTTTTTTTTTTGTATTTAAAAATGTAAGTTTTCACAAGGTATAAGCAATATTTTTTCTATTATATTTATTTTTTGTTTTCACTAAAATCAAATTGTTACCGTCAAATATTCATAAATTTAACACTGATAATATAATATATTATAAACTTAATTCGGATATGTTGAATTCAGTTAGAAGTTAAGTTGGTTACATTTTTATTAACCTATTAATAGCCTATATACCAGGGGCGGTCAAACGGTTGATTTCAGAGTCGATCATGTTAGAATTTATTTTTAGGCCACGTGCATGAAAATTAATCGTGGTGATTATGAACAAATTTTCGATGTTTTATTTTTTACTTTAGTTTATAAAAAAATTATCAAAATTATCGATCTTCTAAGGTGAAGTATATTTTTAGTAGATTGTGACCGAAAATAGTTCGACTGTTTCTGCTAAATACCTATTAATCTAACTTCATTAACATTTTAAATACCAATGATTTTCTTTATATATAATGCGGCCTGTTGGTCTAGGGGTATGATTCCTGCTTTGGGTGCAGGAGGTCCCGGGTTCAAATCCCGGACAGGCCCAACAAAATTTTATACTTTTTTTTTTATGTCACATTATGTCATTTCTCAAAAATTAAGTTACACAACTAGCATATTTCTACCAATCAATTGTTAATTTCACATTCTAATTATAAGCAAAATAAACATGAGTTATTCCAATTATTATTTATTAGTTGTAGTTACTTACTATACAGTTACTTCATATTAAATATTCTGGGGAATATAGATTATTTAACATAACCCATACAACAAACAAGAAAAACTCTTATATTGGAAAATGATTTATACTTAATACTCAATTTAATATTTAGTTAATGTTTTTAACCTAATTTAATTGTAAATTTTTTTATTAACTAATTCAAGTCTGCAATTTTTTTTATCCGCGAATTCGTACATGATGGTGTACAGCTACTAACGACGGCGCGATGCACGGAAATTATTGTCGCGAAAGCAGTTTCAATAGCCTCTATAATACGCGTATTTTCCCTGCCCCCTCCGTCCAACAAGCTAAATCATTACATTATGATTGAACTACTTCGATATCAGTTTCACTGAAACGTCAACCGTCATTGGAATTAGGAGGGATATGGGGCCTTAGTCAGCCCCGAAATTTCAGAAAAACATTTTAAACCCACTTTTACCTAATAAAATGTAAATTTTAGAAGCTCATATAATCAGTTTCATGAAAAATAAAAAATAGTTTCAAATTATTCATATTATGTAGTGTACCCATTTATATTTATAATAATTATGGTCACAATATTTAAATTTAAATTTAATATAAATTGATCATTTATTTTTACCTTGTGTGCTGAAATAAGTTTCCAAACTGCGTAGTCTTACAGTTTACTTTAATATTCGTAAGGTTAAAATACAAAAAATTAATTCTTAAAACAAAATCATTATTAAAAAAAACAGCAATTTTAACTTTACATAACAAATAATAAAATAACAATATAAATTTAAAAAATACAAATTATGTATAATGAAAAAAATAAATATTACTCTTTACTTAAAATTTGAATAAATAATCAAGTCTTTAAAAAGAAATTGTTAAATTTCTAATATTTTTTACTATATTTTTATATAATCAAGCACATCCTTGTGGTTTAAATAGAGTTTAACGAGATTATTAGTTATACCGTTATTCTCTATAATTATGCACATAATAAAGATACATTTTGTGTCTGCTAATTTCTGAAATTTACTTAATGAATAATTTTCTATTTTATCCTTAATTATCAATGAACAGGACATTGTAAAGATGGGACAGTTACGTATTGTTTCAGGTAATTTATATAAACTATCGACTGATAAGACATCTAATGTATCGTCTATGTCAATGACTAAAAACTTTGTACCACTCAATGTACTGTATTTCACACGTTTTATGGTAGATTCAATTATAGCAAGGTACATATTGTCAACTAAAGGGTTTTCTTCAAATATCATAGAACCAATATTTTTGCTTTTTAACAATTTTACCAAAGCTCTTTGTTCATCAGATATAGCAGTAACCTTGAAGTCAGTCAATGATTTAACATATGACAGTTGAACATTCATAGGATTTAACATTTCGGCAACATCAATGTTCCCCAACTGTAATGAAACCATACAAGGATCACCGTTTACTTTAATATTCATGTCAAATTTAATACCATCTATGTTTATAATATCTCTAAACATATCATTTATGTCGGAAAACCAAATTTCGTTCTCTTTGCCATCCAGCATTGGTGTATACAATGAACAACGTCTCACTAAAGGAGGGCACATGCATAAGAAATCGGTAGGTTTATAGAATAGCATACAATCTTCAAAGGTGCCAAAGTCCACCAAATAACAATAAGCACTGATTCTATCCTGAAGGATTTTATCTACTTTGGCTCTACACCAACAATTTAAATTACGGCTGAAAGTAACCACAATGGACCCAATCAAATCCTGATTCATCGTCAATTCAACTATACTTACATCCAAATCATTGGTGATCCGATGCATATATAACATTGATAAACTTTCTGAAAAAACATGAAAATATCTGAAAGAAAGAATATACTTAACAAGTACAGTTTCAATATCAGGTATAATTAAACCATTATCACTATAGTTTTTTTCAGTTAAGTTAGTCTTTAAATATTCTGAAGCTGGATTAAAGGACTTATGTATGAGCATAGTATTGCATTTGACATTTTCTTCAATATTGATTTCTTCTATTAATAACTCATTATTTTCAGATTTACAACTTTCAGAAATTAAAACGCTATAAATAATATCAATACAATTTTTGTCGTCACATGTCAAAGACACTTTATACGGTTCTTTGACACTGGAAGTTTTCATTTTCCACTTAGACATCTTCATAACATCTGAGATAATAGGTAAGTATATGGGATCATTGAGGTCTGAATCTACAATTTCTTCTATGCAACATTTATAATATACATTTTCATTTGATAAGTTGGCAGGAAGAACTTTAATTTTTATTGATTTACAAATACTACCATCAATAAGTAATCTAACAATTATATTTGTATTATCATTATCAGTTAACACTTCAGCCTGATACCATACACCATCTTCTCTATCTGTTAATGCTGCTACTATTGTACCTGCAGGTGGCTGTTGAGAAAAATCTTCTAATTTATCAGCAACTGAAGTCAAATCATTATTTATATTTGCATCATTTAAACAAACATTTTCATCGATTTTCTGAACATAAAATGTATCAAATGATTCAAACTGTTTAACAATTACTGTCCACTCTTTAACTGATATTGTTGAAGAAATTTCAGTTTCATCTAAATCCTCTGAAAACAATTCCACTTCAAGTAACGGTTGAGTACATGATATCAGCTTACATCTAACATTTTTGTTGAGAAGTTTTTTAATATTTACATTGGACACCACACAACAACGCAAGGCACAATTTGGTATATTTTGAATTTGACTAACCAATCTAGTAGTTTTCAAAGCGTTGAATCGTTCACCAGAATCAATTGATAACATATTTCCAGTTTCACTGTCTTTATCTAATATTAGAGCTCTACACCACTCTTTAGTTTTTGAATGCAAAGCAGCACACAATGAACCAACTTCTGTCACTACTGGTATTATTTTTGACTGCATTTGAACAAGTGAGTTACTGATGGTCTCCAGTGTACCAAAATACAAATGAGGAACAATCCAACAGTCATTGATTGAATTAACACACGTAACTTTTACTAAACATCCATTTTTAAGTGTTTCCATTAATTTTTCTTGAGTATGAATTGAAGTCATTTTGTTTGGCATAGCAATAAGTGTTCCATCATCTTCCACAGACATATTGGCTAAGAACATTGTTTGAGACATATTAGATGCCATAGGAAATGTTTTAACAGTAATGAGAAGTGCAGGTACCAATGCAATTTTAGATTGTTTTAAACATTTTAATTTTTTCATTTCGACTTGCTTTTCATATCCAAAATCAATGCAATGTACAACAGCCATTTTGGAAAATATTGATTCAACCCAACATCTGTAATATTTCCCATGACTTTCAAAGAAACAAATATCTCCAGGTACTACAGATTGTTTATTTTCCACTTCTTCATTAAATTTTGATAAGGTTTCAGACATTTTTTCAATTTTTAATTTATCTTGAGATCTTTGCAAATAAGTTAAGTCACCATCAACATGCACAAATGATATGAGTTCAATTCCACGAACAATTGGATTGGAAAGTGGCGTAGAATGATGTTCTTTAATGGATACCCATAATCTATAAAATTAGAAACAATTTCTGTTCATTTCTTTTTGAATATATTATTTAATAGTTAGGTTTGATTAACATATATAAACCATTATTAATAGATATGTTGAAAGTTAACAACTAAATATAATATTTAGTAGCAAGGGCTTACTACTAAAAGTAAGTAAATTCAGTCGCAGGTGACATGCAGCACAAGTCACAGACATGGGCTGCATTTAGCCTAAGACTGAAATTTCTTTCCCACATGAGACACACATACTATTTTTTGTCACACTTTTATTATGGCAATAACAATAATGAGTAACACAATCGCTAAGCACGACAAGTAGAAAACTTTTTTCCACCTACTAGTTGGAAAAGTCACTTTCCATTACATCTATTTGCATCAAAAAAATTGCAGTGCACATGTGACATAAAATATATTAAAATTCTTATTTGACTAAGATCAAAATATTAAAAAGAAATTAGAAGAACTTGCTTTCCATTGGTGTCAATTGATTTAACAGTTACATTATATAATTTTTTTTCAACAATTTTCATATCTAATTCTTTATATTCTAAATGGCAAGACAAGCAAAGCTGAGGTTTTCTCATTAAATCATTTGTGATTGGTCGAATCTAAAAAAATTTAATTTTAATAAGCTATACACATTTTTAGTATTATATTTATTTTTAGTTAATTAATTACTTGTTTTAAAGACACCTCAGTCATTAAACCAATATCAAACAAATTCACTATGGCAGATTTATTTATACTTATTATTAAGGCTCTGTACCACTGATTATTATTAACTGTTGCCAAACAAAATGAATCTTGTTGCAAGTTATTAAAATCAAGATTCTGTAAGTAATTTAATAAAAAAATCAAATTTACAAAACAAATAATTTTTAATAATATCAATGAACTAACCGTATCATTATTTATATGCAATAATATTTCTTCTTCTAATTCATCAACAGTATTTGGTTCAGGTTGAATGCATAGTTGAAAATGATAATCTAATACATATGAGAGAAAACTTTGGCTTTTTAATAGACTTTCTTCGTATGGATTTTCATCTAAAAATTTAATTTTAAAATTAAAGTCAAATATTTGACAGTCAAAAAATATAATCGAAAAACTAAATAAAATAGTGAAGAAAAAACCTGTTTTTATTGCAGCACATAAGCGTTGACCAATTCCAGACTCCAGTATAATTTCAGAAAGATCAATATTGGTATCTTTTTGAATCATTTGTACAAATTGTGTACCAGACTCATCCGATTTAATAATTAAAACCTTATAAAGTTGCTTTTTGTCAAAGTATGGTTGCAACATTATTGAAGTATCAACACTCATAGAAGGAAACCACATATTATTTAATGAACAGTCTAATACTAATTGTGCCGGAAAATTACAATCACTTTCAATGAAATTGTACAAAATTATGTTGTTGAACATTTCATTTATCACTTCATTTCCTTCATCAACTAATAATAATTTAATTTCTATAGGAACATAAAATTTTAAATTTTTGTAATAATTAATAAAAATAAAAATATTGACTAGATAATCCAATTTACTAACTTTCAATTCCTGAATCCATGTCAATAATTTGAGCACGGTGTATCATACTATCTGATGAATTTTGAAAAATTACATACATATTTTTGACAAGATCATATTTACTTAAAACATGACGTAAATTCAAATTTGACTTGATTTTGTTCAAATATATATCAAAATTTGAGTTATATTGTCTCACACGAAAATTTAATGGTGATTTATAATTAATCAATGAAGCAATAATTTCTAGACCATTTTTCATACTTTCTCGGCTTAAATACATTATTGGAATTAACTGAACAAAAAAAAAAAATAATTTAATTTAAATCAAAATTAATAAACAAGAATTAAAATAACACTCAATAAATAACTAATATTTAAAAATAAAATAAAATAAAAAAAAAAAAAATACAGTTGAATCTTGATTATCTGAACCAATTAGCAGTATCTATCTCCAAATCTACTACAAAGAAAATAAAAATAAAACTTACATTCTTTTGTTCTTTTTCTTTCATTATTAATTCTTCTTTTCCTTTCTGAATTCCATTTACATTTTGATTATTCTAAAGCATAAATTTTTAAATTTTATAGAATAAATTTTTTTTTATAATTCTTTTTTGTTACAAATTCAATCTATTACAAAAAAAAATAAATAAAAAAAAATTAACTTACATTATTTTGTTTTTTTTCTTTGATTTCTATGTTTTCATTTACTTTTAAATATAAATGTTCTGTTTCTTTTGCTTTCTGAACTCCATTTTCATTTGGATCATTCTATATTACAAAATTAAAAATTGTGTTGAATTTGAACTTAATAATCAATAAATAATATTTTTCTTCATTCTCACCAAAAATAAACATAAAATAATATATACCTATCAATTAATATTTAACTTATAAATACACAACATAAAATGAACACACACAAATCTGTCCCACATATATTTACATGATCAGTATTTTATTTCTGTAAGCCATAAATTATAATAAAATGTAACATTATTTATGTGTATTTATACCACAATAGTCAACAATAATAAAAAAAAAACCAATCTTTTCAAAACTCTTACATTTTTTTTAGTTAGCTAATCCATAATATGTGTTTAAGATATTAAATTGAGTGCAATTTTTAATTTAAAATTTTTTTAGTAATATTTTTGTATTTTTATATAGTGGAATTACATTATTTTGAAAAACAGAGAAACATGTTTATTATTAATAAATATTACAAAACAAAATTATCTATTTTCAATAGACAAAAACCTATGATACGCTTTTCAGCTGCAAAAGTAACTAACAATTAAATAACCCAAACATTTAAAGAGTTAAAAATAAATTAAGATAATAAAATACATATCAGTAAACTAACATACAAAAAGTTCAATACTTCTAAAATATTTCAAAACATTAATCTATATCAATGAAATATTATATTACTTTAATTTTCATTATATAAATATATCCTTACAATGACTTTGCCTAGTACTACTACAAAATTATTATTCCAACAATTATCTACACATTTTATTTCTTCCTGAAAAAATTAATACTTTAATCATAAAAATTCTATAAACGTAAGTATTACAGAAATAATTAAACCTATTTCTATATTTATTGTATAATTGTAGATTTTAAAGAAAAAAAGTTATAAATTTAAGTTATTACTATATAGTTATATACACTACCTGTATAATTAAAAAAAATTAAAACACAAATTTTAATATCAGATATCAATTATCAAACTGATAAATTATGATGAAAAAATTAAAAGCAATTTATTTTTAAATTAAACATTAAACATACCTAATAAAATAAAACTTAAAGAAATATAATTAGAAGAATATTTTTTTTTTTCAGAACAATATGGATTTAACTCATAAGTGTAATTATACAGAGTTCAAAAAAAATTTGAACTTAGTTTTAATCTGTTATATAAATTGAATGTAAGATATTCAGAATATTTTTCAATAAAAAGATCTAGCAATTTAATAATAACTTACATTTAATTCAGTTATTGAAAATGCTGTTAATTTGCTGTATGGTATTGAGCATTGATCATCAGTTCCCATAAAAATATTATTTAATGAATCATATAAATCAATAAAATCATCACTTTGTTGTTCAAATAATTTCACTTTATACAGGCCAAAACTAGGATCCATTTTCAATGGTAACATTTGAAAATATTTTTGATTTAACATGCTTTCTAAATTGGTGTAATTTGATTTATCTAATATCACGTTCATTGATCGCATTTCAATTAAACTGCAACTAAAAAATAATGATAAAACTAATATTATTAATAATATAATAAATAATTATTCTTGAACATTAAAACACATACTTGGATGGTATTTCAAAAACTGCTGTTCTAGGTACATATGTCTTTAGTCCATAATCAACTAGATCTATATAAAGTGTTTCAATTTTAACTTCTAAAATTATGGCTCTAACCAATTCATTATTAATAATAATCAAACAAGGAGTATGTACATCTACAATGGATACCAATTTTAAACTCTGTCTGTCTATTGAATCTAATAAACTTTTTAAAATTCTAGAATCTGTATCCTTAAGTAAAAAATTAAAAACAAATAATGAATAATATTTATATATATATTAAATAAATATATAGTGTCAATGCTTACTAGTATTCTGACTGTTAAAAGAACTACATCATTTTGTAAAGAAACTCTTGAAATAGCTACGTCTATTAAAGTAACATAATCTAATTTTTGATGTCTTAGATTTAAGCTTAATGTTGATTCTTTCCATGGAAGAGTGTAACTATTTAACAGATCATTTTTATTGTTTAATGTAATCACTGAAGACATACTATTAGCAATGGAGCTCATAATTGCTATATCAATAGTATCTGCCAAGCCACTTTCAATCAACTTCTTGTCAATGTCATATATTGTCACAAATGTAATACCACCAACCTCAAAATCTTTTTGAAATTTGTAATATTTATCACTCAGAATATCATTTAATTCTTTGACAGATTTACGTTTACTTATGAATGTACTTAACAAAAATGTATGAACTGCAGTTTTTTGATACAGAGTATTTAAAAGCTGCGGATCTGAGGTATCCATAGTGACCTCTCTAACATTATTACATGGAACCACCATTGTTCGGCCATAATCTATCAGCATTATAGTAAGAGTTTTTGATACTAAATCTGAATTTAACACTTGACATCTGTACACTCTTTCTTCATATTTAGCTTTCCAAATGTATATGTACAATGTATTCCCAAGTAAATCTAATTTATTGAATTCCTTTAAAAATATATAGTTCTATAAATTGTTAATTTAAATTAAAATATGGTTCAATATGATACCTTTGAATAATTTCTATAGGTCTGTACAACTTTTTCTAAATTTGTTCTCTTTTTTGAATAAAAACATGCCCATATTTTTATAAAACATCCTTGAAATTCAGCATTAGTTATATAAAGCTCATTTAACAACATAGGAACTACCGACTTCTCCTTTATACCACTTGGGGTCTTCATTGAAAAAATTATTTTTATAAGTAAAATTAATATATTCTACCTAAAGTTTAAGATAAAATATAATTATTTATAAATATAAAAGTAACCTGTAATATAATGTAATTTTAAGTTAATTATATTTTGAATAATTTTATATAAAATCAAATTTAGAACATTTCAATATATTTCATTTTTAATATAAAATTTCATGAAATCAATAAATTATAATAGTTCGTGTTCTACCACCGACCATATAACACGTGTGCTCTCTAATAACGTTTTATAGCTCTTGATAGGACGTACACACCCCACGGCTGGCATTACCAGGTAATATGATTATATACCCATTTAATCGAGTTATGTAACGCGCTCGCCTTATTAATATTTATAATGAATATAAACTCCTAGGGCATCTCGCCCATTACCAAAAGTACTCTACAAACTAAATCCCTCACCTTCAATATATCAAAAAAAACAAAGTGCACCTACACAAAAAAATCCTAATTCATCATCTATAAATTCTTATCAACACAACAAATCCATCTCAAAAACAATCCCGACCCCGCACGACAAAAATTTGCGATTGTCGAACTCGTCCATCAACCATTCCCCACCCGTCACGCCACCAATGAATGAACATCAGACCACCCTTTCCCGTCTCACCATTAATACATCAATCTCCGCCGTTATCGCAAACAATTATTCCACACTAATGACCCTCTACCGTCAACGGAACACTACTAAACCCGCAACTACCTACACAAACACCAGCATGAACTTCGCTACGGCGACCGTCACGGAAAACACTCCAAGCAGAGAACAAGCGATAGTGTTCAATTCTATCGACGGAATATCTCAGATCGATTACATCAGTGGTGGCCAAACTACGACCCGCCATCATTTAACCCTTTCGGTACTGGCGGGACGTTTAGGTCCCGGACACTTCAAATGTCAATAGAAAATATATTATTCTATAAATTGGTATGTTATGGCCTGGTGGGACTTTTGAGTCCCGTTTAAAAATGGAAAAAATATATACATACATGTACATCGGTATAGAATATTATTATTAGCTCAACACAGCTAGTATTTTTTCTTGAAACCTTATCTATCAAATCATGATTTTGTTTTCATTGTTATTATGACTGTTACTAAATATAACTGTTACATGTTATTCTAAATCATTGAAGTACTTCTAAATAGTGTTATCGAATATTGTTTGTGTCAATATAATATATATTTACGAAAATAATCAACATTTTTGTCACGGGACTCATATATCCCGTTAGTATTCGACAGTTGTAAAACGGCGGGTCGTGTGTTCGTAATAAAGTATAATATAATATAGTCTTACGTACGTACGTCTCGTATATTTCGTTATCAATTTTTATTGTAAATATATTTTTTTCTGGATTTTTTTTTAAAAATGAGTAAAAAAGATCAAGATATCGAAGAATGGTTATTAATGGATGTTCCGGATGATCCAGAATCTGAGGACGAATATAATTTAGATGATGGTGATACCGATGAGCAAGCCCAACAAGAGGTAATTGAACTAAGTAATTTTTTTTTGCAAAGTACATGCAAAACCGGTGAAAATGACGAGGAACCATTAATAACTGATAATTCGGATGTTATTATTTTTGATTTTCCGGAATTTGACTTTTCTCATCAAACCGAGGACGTAAGTCTAAAAACCACTAATACACCAAGCTCTTCTAGAACTTTGAGACCACGAGTATCAAATTCAAATAATTTGTCCAATACATCTATTTCTGGCCATGTAAAACCTGATAATACACAAACACCAAAACATATCGATAATAATATTATAGAACTTGCTGTTAATAATACTTTTGATAATACTCCAGATCCTGTTGTAGTTAATAGGCAGTGGCGTAAAAAAAATGAAATTACAGCTGCTTTACCAGATTTTGAAAAAAGTTTAGGTTACAACCAAGTGATGTTTGGTGACTGCAAAACGGCAACGGATATTTTTTTAAAACTAATTAATCCTATCATAGAAAATATTTTGGACCAGAGTAATTTGTACGCAACTCAAAAAAATAAAAATCTCAATCTACACGAAAATGAATTACTCTCTTTTTTTGGAATTAATTTTTGTATGGGGTATCATAAACTACCTTCATATAAACATTATTGGAAGGGGGCCAAAGATTTAAATGTGCCAGCTATTTCCGAAGTTATGACAAGAGATCGATTTGTAGAAATACTATCTAATATTCACGTCAATAATAATGAAAATATTCCTCAGAACAATAAAGACAAATTGTTCAAATTACGTCCTATGATAGATAGTTTGAACCAAATATTTTTGAAGTCTTCTTCTGGAACTCGTGAACTTAGTGTCGACGAGTCTATGATTAAATTCAAGGGTCGCAGTACGTTAAAACAATATAATCCCATGAAACCTATAAAAAGGGGGTATAAATTGTGGTGTATTGCAGACCAGAACGGATATATTATGAAATTTTCGGTGTACCAAGGAAAAAACGAAACGTTAGAAAAGCAGTTCGAGAACACTAATTTGGGAGAAAGAATTGTATTGCAGTTGACAAAACCATTTTGGAACGAATCTAGACTTGTATTTTTTGATAACTATTTTACAACTATTCCACTCCTGGAAAAGTTGAAAACGCAACACACACTAGCGTGTGGTACTATCAGACAAAATCGTAAAGGGATGCCACAAAATTTCAAAAAAGATTCTGAAATACCTCGTGGAGAATTTGACTATCGATTTTCTACTTCAGGTATTGGAATCTTCAAATGGAAAGATAACAAAGTGGTACATATTGCGTCAAACTATCACGGTAACGAAAAAATATTTGTTGATAGGACTATGAAGGACGGCTCTAGATTGAGCATATCGTGCCCAAATCCAATCAAAGACTACAACAAATATATGGGTGGAGTTGATCACGCAGACAGATTGAGAGCATTATATAACGTTGACCGTAAATCCAAAAAATGGTGGCTTAGGATTTTTTGGGGACTGTTAGACATAACTTTTGTAAATGCGTATGTCATTTATTGCGAAATGTTTGAAAAAACGGATGTATTTGATTTCCGTCGATCAGTTGCCCTTGGTCTGATGACAGCTCGAAATACACCATCAAGAAAATCTATAAGCCTGAAAAGGTCAGCTCCACAGACGCCATCAAATCGAAGAAAGAAAACTTTATCCAACTCCAAAGACGTCAGATTAGGCAACAGGTATCATAAAAATATTTCATCATTATACCATAACAAAATATTATAATACAAAGTTATTTTAATTTTATCTGCAGAGGTATTCATTGGCCAAGTTTTGGTATAAAGAGAGGTAGATGTGAACTTTGCAGTGTTCGAGGAGTAGAGTCCCGGCCACTTTCTTCGTGTAACCACTGCCGAGTATTTCTATGTTGCAATGAAAGGAAAAATTGTTTTGTAGAATACCATCAAGTTGACATCGAATAATTTTATTTTTAAATTTATTTACTAAACTTTTATTAATTTCACTACAATTTAATTTTTTTTATATAAAATAACAAAGTAAAAATTGACAAGGAGTCCGTTTATTTTTGTGTTTGCTATCTACATAAAAATAAATTATGAGAAGTAGATTTCTCGTATTTTTTAATGTAAATAATGTATTTTATTAATTTTTATTGTAATGCTTATCACCCTGACGGGACTTTGAAGTCCCGGATAAAAAAGTAAGTGAATGGCTTAAAAAAAAATTTTGAAAAAAATCAGAGATCTTATTGAAATCATATTAAAAGATTCTGCCAAAAAAAAATTTAACTTTTTTTATTATTTCTGGGGGCCGTACTCAAAGGGTTAATATCTGGCCCGCGAAAGTCTTCTATATTATAGCACTTATTTGTATAACTGTAATATTTTGCATTTAAATAAAAAAAATTTAGAATGCATTTTTTTATGGCCCGCGATAAAAAGTTGTTTTTTATGGCCCGAGGAAAAAAAAGTTTGGCCACCACTGGATTACATAATCGCCATCGGTAAAATGGTCAAACCTATCAACATTATCTTCGTATCGCGTATTTCAAACCACCGTTTCTGTGTATTTTTATCCAGTAAACAAGTTCTTGATCATTTAAAGGCCCCCATACACGGTCAGTTTTGAATGACAACGTGATTGACATTCATGACTGACCGTATATGTATATGACTGATAATGACTGACGGTCAAATTTTATGACTGATGAAATTCAAACATGTTTGAATTTTTATCATCAGTCAAGATGATTGACATTCATGATTGACCGTGTATGTCTATGAATGTACAATTTATCAGTCGATCTAGTCGAATTGTGTGGAGCAGTCGAGTCTTGTTTTGTCTTTTTTTGTCGTAAATTATGATCAGAGAATGAGTTTTTTTTCGTCAACCATTCTTTAACCCAGAATCTTTTCTTTCTCTTTTTGGGTTTCTTTGCATCATCACACGCAAGATAAATGGCAATACCAATAAGTGCATCTTTATCCATTTTAATAAATTGACAAACTCAAAAATATTTATAAAAATACCTATCAATAAATATAGGTATATAAAAAAATTAATCAAATGTACACAGCACAAAACAATACAAAACAGCACGAATAAGTACTTATTCGTAAAGTGTACACTTTTGAACTGACAAAAAAATTGAATGATTGTCATTCTTGATTGATTGTGTATGGAAGTTATCAATCGTCAGTCAATGATTAGTTTCGACTGTCAATCACGTTGATTGTAATTCAAGACTGACCGTGTATGGGGGGCTTAATGCAACAAACACAGACTATTAAAATTAATGACCGAGTAATTCAAATACGTAGACTTGTTAACCCGACTAAACGCATTGTCATATCTAATGTATGTCCGTCAATCCCAAACCGAACAATACTTAACGCATTAAAACTTATAAATATAAATCCTACTTCGCAAATTAACCATCTAAAAGCTGGTATCAACATGGAAGGCTACGGGAACATCATGAGTTTTCGCAGACAAATGTACATTACACATGAAGATATTCCCAAACTGCCTAACTCAATGCTAATCACCCATAACGATAATCAATTTAGAATATTCCTCACAGATGATACGTTAACTTGTTTCTTATTTAAAGCTGTCGGCCACACGTCCAATAACTGCAAAAAAATTCCGAAATATACTCCCCAATCGAATCTATAATTAACACAAATTTAATCAACATTCACAACATCAACGAAACACAACCTACGCCTACAAATGATGACCCCAACCTCTGTGCCACCATCTCCCAACCTGACGAAAAACAGAAACCCACAATCATGGATTTGTCATTAGATACTACTCTTGAGGCACATCGTATATCCGAACATAATGAAGAACTCCCATCAATGCTAACACAAAATGATACACACAAAATACCTATCTCCGACTCATCGCCTCTAAAACCACCAGACTCCTCTAATTATCAAATAACCACAAAAACCACGGTCAAAAAAGAAAAAACAATAAAGAAAAATAAAATGCGTTCTAGATCAAATTCATTCAATAGATCACAAAACTCAAATTCGGATGAACAAAAAAAACCAATAGAAAAATTCATTTCACTAAATGAAAATCTACTCATCTCTTATCTCCAATTCTCATACATACTAGAAAATTTTAAAAATAAATCTATAAACATCCATTCATTCACCGAAGAGGTAAATATTGGTATACTCCCATTAATGGATATAATAAATCAAATCAGGCCACTAGTTACTGATCGATCAATAAAAAGCCGACTCACTAATTTGTCAAACGTCCTCTTCCAAGCCCAACCCACACCAAATAAACATACTTATAATATATATAAACAACTCCTTTTTAGCACTATTACCCCTATAATACATCGAATACAATATGATAAATATTATACAATGGAATATGAACGGGTTCTACTTAAAATCTGCAGAACTCCAATTACTTATTAAAGACTACACTCCCACCATAATATGCCTACAAGAGACAAACCTCACAGACAAGAATAATCCTTCGTTATCCTAATACAACACCTGATGGTGGGGTAGCAATTTTCGTCATTCAAGAACACCCTAGTGAAAAAATACACATAACCACCAACTTGAAAGCTGTCGCGGTATCTATAACCCTACCCCATAATAAAATAACCATCTGCAACCTCTACCTCCCTAATCAAAAAAATTTCACACTCACTGACATAGAAAATAACACCCATCAACTCAAACAGTCGTTCATAATAGTTGGAGGTTTCAACAGTCACAGTCCAAATTGGGAATCTCAAAAAACCGACTCAAGAGGTAAAATAATTGAAGAGCTCCTAACTCAAGATAATTTAGTACTATTAAACACCGGCCAGCCTACCAGAATAAATCCCTCTGATGGGAATTTTTCCTCTATTGACCTTTCCATATTTAATAGCTCCCTTGCTCACAATCTTGAATGGAAAGAACTCCCAGATATCTACAGCAGCGATCATATTCCCATCCAAATAACTATAACTTACTCGTCAAACAAAAGACTTATATTATCCTCCAAGATGGAAAGTTAAAGAAGCTAATTGGAACCTATTCAATTCATTAATCGAAAACAGTATACCTACACTCAAACCCCCTACCAAAGAAAATATCGATGATGATGTAAACCAACTCTCAAAACTCATCACTGACACTGCAAAAATGCCCATAGGAATAGCCAACAACAAACCAAAAAGACCTCGGGTTCCATGGTGGAACAACGAAATCAAAACATCTATTATAAATAAAAATAAATCCCTTAAAAAATACCAAAACCCACACAACTCAAATGATTTCATAGAATTAAAACTACATAGAGCACGTATTAGATTTTTAGTTAAACTCAGTAAAAGCCAAATCCTGGAAAACCTACATATCCAGCTTAGATAGCCAAACCGATCCCTCAGTAGTGTGGAGTAAAATTAAATCCCTCAAAGGAACCAACCGACATAGCAACATTCAACTGTTAGACAACTCAAAACTCATATCGACACCAAAGGAAGTGATCAATTCTATCGGTGAATATTTTCAAACAAATTTAAGCAATTCCAACTACAACGATGAATTCCTAATAAATCGCCATCGATATTACTTCCCACAAAACACAATAGACCCTAACGATACCACACAAATTCTAATCAACTCCCAAATAACCACGGATGAATTAGAAATGGTATTGAGAACCAACAAAAGAAAAAGCCCGGGGCCAGATGTATCCCTTATATTTTTATTCAAAATTTACCCCTCAACGGTATCAAACACCTACTTAACATCAGGTTTTGTAATCCCAATCCTCAAGCCCAATAAAAATAAATAAAAAATAATACAAAATAATATCTCACCGAAAGTTATCGCCCCATCACTTTACTTAGCCCACTATGTAAGTTACTTGAAAAAATCATCAACTGTCGACTCATCTGGTTCCCTGAAAAAATTAATTATACATTCCCTGAACCAAACAGTTTTAGACAAAATAGAAGCACTCTAAATAATCTTCTAAGTATTAAAAGAAATCGAAATAGCTAATGACAACAAACAAAGTTTAGGCATGATCAGCTTCGATATTGCAAAGGCTTATGACACCACTTGAAAACCCAGAATAATGTACATACTTAACAAAATAGTATGTAAAGGGAACCTACTTAACTTCATCCAAAACATATTCCTTTCAAGTTAAATCATCAAACTGCTTATCTGATACACACATACAAGAAAATGGAGTTCTTCAGAGTTCCACAATATCCGTAACTCTTTTTCTTCTAGCCATAAACAACATATCCAAGCAAATACCTAAACCAATCATTCCCATGCTTTACGCTGACGATTTCTCCATTTTATGTCGCAGCAGCAGTTTAATAACAATAAAACAAATTCTACAAGATGCCTCAAACTCACTACATTCAATAACAAAAACAAAAATAAAATGTCTATTAGTTTGAGCAACCATTTAATTGAAAATGACAAATATATTAAAATCCTCGGTATAACGTTCGATTCAAAATGTTCCTGGGCACTTCACATACTACAACTAAAACAAGCTTGCGCCAATCGTCTCAATATAATCAAAATTCTATCACATACCTCATGGGGAGCCGATTCTTCTGTACTTATCAAGATCCACAAATCCTTAATTCAGTCCAAACTTGATTATGGATCTCCTCTATTCTCGTCAGCTATCCATTATCCCCTAAAAAAGCTCGAAAATCTCCACAACTCAGGTTAGGTTAGCCGGGCAATTGGCGCATTTCAATCCAGCCCTAAAAATAGCATATCTAATATAACAGGAATACCCTTCCTATCACTAAGATGGGCTGAGCAAAAATCACTACTGGCAGCCAGAATCCATCCAAATATTTAAACACTACTTCAATGAAATCATTGCCAATACCGAACCTCATACACAGATTTACACAGACGCATCTATAACAGATCAAAGAATTGGAGCTGCAATCATATGTGGCACCACCGAAATTCAACTCAAACTAT